CCTACTCCCACTCCTCTCCTCTCCGGCTCTCCCTTCCCTTCCTCTTCCTGTCCTCCCTCTCCTATCCTCTTCTCTGACTCACCTCGTCTCCTCCTCGTTCCCCCTCGTTCCCCTTCGCCTCCTCCCCTCCCTCCATTCGTCTTATCCCCCTTTTCGCTATCCTTTTCTTTGTCTCACTCTGCTGCTGCAGAAACTTCAGCCGAGCCTGACGCAGGAGGCCGCGGGGACTCTGAGCTCCTTCCAGGAGGTGAGGAGGAGGAGGAGGAGGAGGAGGAGGAGGAGGAGGAGGAGGAGGAGGAGGAGGAGGAGGAGGAGGAGGAGGAGGAGATGTCTTCTTACCTGCTGGCAGCTCGTGGTAAAGATACTCAACAGCGACGGGGGTGACGAAGCTGCCATGGCAGAGGTGAGAGGAGGAGGAGGAAACAGGGAGGAGGAAACAGGGGGGAGGAGGAAACAGGGAGGAAGGCGCGGAGAATAGTTTGGGGAGGAGGTCTTGGCAATGAGGACCGGAGCTGAGACCGTGAAGAAGGGTCCGAGAGGAAGAGGAGGCGGGTAGAGGATCGTGACTTGACTCTCAACGCAGGCTGCTGCTCTCAGCGAGACTGTGCGAAGTTTGGCGAGCACTAAGGAGGGTCTGAGCAAGGCATGCGTGTCTTCAGAAAAATGAACCCAGTGGTCAAGGCCGAGCACATTCTTGGAGGAGGTGGAGGTAGAGGAGGAGCTCGGAGGAGCCTTCAATGGCACCGGTGTGTAGGACATCGCCGAGGCTGACCCGCCGGTCACGTCATGGTACTCGGCCACGCACGGCGACGCCCCGGTCGGACGCCTGGCGGCCCGGCGCCGCGGGCCACATGATCCGATGACTGACAGTGGTCATCGGATGCCACTCCGAGGCTCCGAGCCGTGATCAGCGAGCCACTGCGGCCCGCAGCCCACAAGCCGCAGCTCACGGAGGCTCTGAGCCTGCCGCCACTGCTGCCGGGTCAGGCCGCGGCCCGCGGTGACCGGCGGCCGGCCCGACGGGGGCCGCTGGAGTCGATTCACTCAGCCGCCGGCCCGGCCGGGTAGACCCACCCCCTCTGAAGCTTGAGATTAAGCACTACCCCTTGTTTGGCCTTCCAAAAGACCCGTACATAATACCCCACCATCTCTGTTTCCCTAATTGCCAACAGGGAGACCCTCGGTCAAACCACCCACCCCCCCCCCAGACACCCCACGCCACTCTTTTCCTATTGTACCACCGTACCCTTCGACCACCTAAATTCTCCTACCTCGAAGTACCCCACCCTCACCTTGTTTTCTCCTCTCCCTCCTCATGCCACCCCTTCTCGTACACGAGGAGATGGACACACCCCCTTGGATTACTACCCTACCCCCTTATAATAACCACACATCCTGCCCTCTGATAGATAACCCCCCCCCTCATTCTTCACTCACCCCCTTTTATTATACCCCTACCCTAAATCAAGAGAATTTTCTCCAAGTATTTTAGGATGCGCCATATAGTCTCTCTATTTTATAATACTCTTGATAATATGTTTTCATTATCTCCTTTTCATTTTAGCTTGTGCTGACCCCTCACCTACTAGTACCCCACATCAATCGTCAAATGACATATCTGAGTACCTTAGGATGAAACAGTACCCCCACCCTACTCGCCTCTAGACCCCTTGAAACTAGTTGCAGGGTTTGGGACCCTACCCGGACCCTCACCACCCCTACCCTGCCGTACCGTTGCATGCTCTTCTCCTCGAGCACAAACATGGCGCAGGCAAAGACCAGCAGGCAGTGGGGGGGAGAGGGAGGGGAAGGGAGGAGGAGGGAGGGGAGGGGGGGGGATGAGAGATAGAATGCAGACAGACGCATGGCATGAGGGAAAGGCGAATAGAAACAGAGGAGGGGAAGGGACTTGATTATTGTGAACAAGCAATGCAAATGAAGAATGTAGTAAATAATGCTTCATTACTTCATAGTTCAGTTCAAGGAGTGGAATCGGTGTGGGAACAGACGAAGAGGCGATCTGGGTTGGAGAGGGTTGCTGTGAAGGACAGTGAAGTAATGGACTCTGCACAAACAGTACCCCCGTGTCCTCAAGATGTTACATGCATCTACACCCTTTGAGTTGGCATGAAGGTTCAAAGGTGGACGAGCGAAAGTAGAGAAGGTTATCGATGTGTTGAGGAGATTGCTTGAAGAATAGAATACGATCCTCGGATGATCATCACGCTAGTGAGGTCAGGGCAGAAAACTCCCTCAATGTGGTGAGAAGGAAAATTTGAATTTTGTTAGCTAGAAATCAATGTACTCATTGAGTGCTTTATCCCTGTTGGGCCTTTCCATCGGTTTTGAACAGTTTAATCTCATTATGAGATGTTCATAAACGTTGCTAGGTAATGATTAGGGTTGGAATATCTACTCAATGGACATGCTGTTGAAAACTCGAGTTGTTTGGAGTGCAGACATTTTTGATGTGCCGCGTTTTTGCATTCACCAAGTCTGTTTGCTGACCAATGCCTCGCAGCCGTGTCTTCGTATGCATACGATCGACTAGCTGCCATTGCGAGCTTGAATCGAGTTCACGAAGAATGGCTGCCCCAAGATTGGATTGCAAAAAGCGAGCTGGCATCCTCCCGCCATGTCGCACTAGCACGAAGGTCCCTCGCACCAAGAGCATGGAGGATGTGCATGGCGTGAAAGGTATGCATTGGAAACAACCAGCAGGAGGGTGGATTGGAGTGCAGCAAGGAGATTATCCAGCTCTTTCTGAATGTTGGTCAATGTCTTCAGCCATGATGTGCGATGGTATGGGCGAAGAAGGCAACTGGGGGCCTTGCTCTCCTTGCATGCCTGTGACTGCGGAGCTGCCACCGTCTGTCTTGCTCCGGAGATACTCTCCGACAACGTTTCAAGCTGATCTGGGGGGCGATAGAGAGAGTGTAGACGATTCTTGTGCTGAGGAGCGGAGCGGTGAAGACGGCATTCCCTGCGAGCCTGCAGCGGTGACGAGCGACCTGCAAGAGAACTTGAATGAGGGGGAAGATGAAGAGTCGAATGTCACTGCGTCCAAAGTGTGGGGTTTACAGGAGCGAGAGCCTCTTGCTCCTGATGACGACGAGCAAACTGACGTTACCATGGGGGCGACTGAAGATGTGCTCGACTTCGTTTTGTGAAGGAAGATAGGTGAAGGAAAGAGCTCGAATGTCGTTAAGACTGGTCAATCTGTTCGATTTCGTGTTCTATAGGCATTTTTTTTGTTTTAATAATCTCAAATGTGAGGATGACCTCTCGCATTCCGCTGAGTTCTGTCCAGCATGTTTTCACAGTCTGTGCTTGTCATTTCGAGCAGAGTTGAATGAGACTTGAAGGGGATGTCAGCAGGATTTTGAAGCACGTCTGCTGCAATGACACGTTGCATTATGCGGCTTTGGGGAGCAAAGAGGAGAGCGAAAGGTGGCGATAGAGAGATGAATTTGCTCGATGGCTTCCCTGGTGAAGATGGCTGTATCATCGGCTCCTTATGGAACTTTTTCAGCTCCTGCCGTCTTCTCTTCTTCAGTCAAGGGAGAGCCATCAAGCTTCTTCAGCCAAGGAACCTGCTCGTTGTACTGTAAGATACGATTCTTCCTCTCCCCTGCCTTCCTCTCTACTCCTGACCCTCCTCCACTACACCAACACTTACTTGACCTCCATCCCCACCTCTCCATCTCCCCCCTCCCCTCCCTCAACCTTTTCCTCCTCCTCCTCCTCCTCCTCCTCCTCCTCCTCCTCCTCCCTCTCGGCATACCCGCCCAGCGATCTGCTCTCTAAAGTCTTCTGGTCCTCCAGGCTTGGACAGTTCATCCCAGATAGGATTTCCAACCAACAGAAGCTCCTTCAATTACGCTTGAGACTCCCACAAGCAAATCAAAGCTGGAGAAACCTCAAGCAACTTGCATTCCTTGAGGACATCAAGCTCAGGAAGCTTGGCTACAAGGTTGTTTGCAACGTACAAGACCCTGAAGCGCAGGTCAAGAGTAAACAGCCTGGCACTGGTGAGTTTCAGTCTACCGAAGCTTTGAGAGCTTCTCGACTCCTCGCAACGACGTGAGCAGGTTGTACGAGATCCACAACTCTTGCAGAGTCTCCGAGACGTCCTCCACCCCATCGAGCTTCTTGATCTGGTTCCTACCGAGAGAAAGAACCTCTAGTGACTCTGTGAATCCATCAATCCCTCCCAACGACTTTGGGCAATCAGCTTGTAGTCCTACCGCATCCCTTGATGCCCGTTATCTTCTCGATGCAGTTGGAAGACAGGGCAAGATGCTTGCATGCCTTCAAGGTCGATCTGACCACAACGAGTCAACCGAGCAGGAAGAAGTTGTCAGTGACAACAGGGTGTTGTCCATCTTGACGATGGGAGGCATCTGCCCGAAGAGGAGGACTTTCTCCTGCTCTGCCGCCACACAAGGTTCTTCGGGGGTGCCGCTCTTTGTTTCCTGTGGCGTTTGCAGCTCGTCAACAGCGATGATATGAGAAGTGCGTTGAGATCGATCTTACAAAGTTCTTGATTGCGTCCTTGATCGAAGTCTGCACAAATTGTCGTGAGCATTCAACGAAAACAAAGGTCTGCGAGTCCAACTCTGCCTAGTAACATTCTAGGTGACGGCAATCTACTTCCATGTTGAACCGGGCATAAGGAAATGGCTTAGCAAGCAATTCATGGAAATCATGATTGTGGTGGAAGAGAAAGGAAAGAAAAACGTTCACATGACGCACAGGAAGAGAGGGCGCAGAGGTGCAAAACCTTTTCAAGTGTCTTCTCCTCAGCATCAGCATCACTGAGTCAGAACCTCACGTTCTCTTACTCTTACTCTTACTCTTACTCTTACTCTTACTCTTCCTCTTCCTCTTCCTCTTCCTCTTCCTCTTTGATCGAGCCTCACCATTTTCCGATATAACGTCCCCGCTCAATGCACTCTAGTCAGTGTGTTCACGGTTTCCGTTGCCACTCGGATTTTGACCTGCTATAACCGTCGCAGGGGCCGTTGCCACAGTGACCGGCGTATCCTACTCCCGGCGGACTCGGGACGGATCATGGCCCGGCCCGCCCGTCAGACCGTGGGGCCGTGTTGATGACCCGGCGTACCATGAGTCGGACTACTGAGTCGGACTCACCTCAGGCTATGTCAAGCTCAGTTGATGTGGCTCGACTCGGGATGATGCACAGATGCTGGACTCCCCGGAAAGCCCGGCCTGTATTCTTGGGGACCGTCCGACCGTGCCCGGGCAGCAACACTGCGCCTGTCACAGTGTGATGACTCGATCAAGGACTCCACGTGACGTAGATGGATCGTATGCCAGCCGTGCCAGTCAGATAGCGCCGAGTTAACAAAAACTCTCCTGTAAACCAAGCCTTTGAAGACGACTTACGTGTTCAAGCCTGTCGGCATGTAGTGCAGAGACGAAGAGTCGGAGGCCGCTTCCTAGCCGCCGTCTTGCTAAGGTCAGACGTACGGTAGGAGGGCCGCCGGACTCAGCAGGAAGCCCGCGATAGCCGGGGCACCGTGGCGCCGCACTGCACTGCTGACTCGGAGGAGCCAGGCTAGGATTCATGGCCCGGGCCGGGACTCCCGGGAGACAGCCCGCCGGGCCCCCGCCGTGACTCTGAGGCGACTCTCAGGCATAAGCGGGCCGGGCCGAGTCAGCGGCTTACCTGGCGGGGTGGCCCACCCCGGGCCGGCCCTGGTCCGATCACGGGCGACGGTCATGGACCGTGGCACGGTGGCAGTCACGAATCGGACTCAGTGTACGGTACGGTCACTGGGAGACCGTGGAGTCCCGGAAGACTCTGCCGCAGTGCCATTGTGACTGCAAGCCGCTCGGAGCCCGGGCCGGGGTCTGTCGGACTCGGGTCGAGGAACCATATCACGGATAAGAAGGTGCAGAGTACCGTCGGCCCGGTAGTTTGTTCTTAGGACCACTGCCAGAACAGGGCCCCGAAGGGCACCGCTATTCGAGTCAGAAAGCCTTTGAAGGGAGTTAGGTGCGGAGAGGGCCGCGTGAATTGCAGGTGGGAGGAAGCATGGGAGAACGAATCAGGTGTTGATCGCTTGAAGTAAACGAGCTTCAACATCTGTATCTCGTCAGGGGGGGGGGGCAGGGTGCGCGGCAGACTTACGGACCGTACGCACGGACCTCCAACGGCCGGCGAGGGCCGCCCGCCGTCCGGGCCGCCGCCCCGCGGTGACCGTACAGCGGCACGCACTGCGGCACTGCGGCAGGAGCCCGCGGGCCGGTGGCAGTCACCGTCCGTGGCAGCCTGCCTGAGATCCGCCCAGGCCCGCCTTAGCCTAGTACTACTGAGCCGCTCAGAGTGACTCACTGTTCTTAGCGGCGGCTCTGGCGATCCGATGGGGGGCGAAACAGTCAGTGAGAGGGCACAGACGGACTCATCCGGCCGCTGAGCAGAGCTCGGAGTGACCGGACCGTACTTCAGTCGGCCTTTGGGAACGTTCAAGGGTTGGGAGTCCAGGCTCACAGAGAATCATTGACTAGTCATGATGTACTAGAACCGTGAACAGTCAGCTTGTGGAGCGATCAGCCACTACGCCAGATGGTCTCAGATCTAACCCGACATTCGATCATCATGGGCTTGAATTAGATGGCCCATCATTGCAGCAACTGCAAGAGTCCGTCAGTTTTACGGTTGACTCAGATCTGAGCGTCGCATGCTCGTGCCATCATGCGCCTTGGCCGGGCATGACGCTCTCTCCGAACTCCTGGCTGTCCGATGCCTCAGTGGGCCTCCTCGACCAGCAAGGCTTGACTCTATTGTCCCTGTCCGAGGACCATCAGTCCACCTTCGATGATGAGTGCCTTTCCGAAGACGGCGGCGATCGAAGCCCAAGCAAGTGTGTCTCTGACGTCAGAAGTGCCTGGTGCAGCAGCAGCAGCAGCAGCGGGCAGACGGTCCCAACATCGCGCGATGTCTGCGTAGGTGGCGGGGAGAGAGCTTGCGAGGTTCTGTAGGATGCACTGCCCGTATGATAGCTCGCTCGGCCCCAGCGTCGCGCGGGAGGAGCCCGCGGAGGGGGGTGAGGGAGGGCGTCCCGTGCGCAGGGAGGGTCCGGCGTGAGAGTCGGGCACGAGAGACCGTCAGGGCCGAAGCTGCCGCAGACCTCCTCCTCCCCTCCCTCCACTGCTCTCTCCACTCTAGGCCACCCCGACGACGGTCCTCCACCTCGCAGCTTCCCTCGTGCTCGAGCGGGTCAGGCTGAGAGGAAGAGCTGGAATGACCTGCGGGGAGCAGAGGCAGGCTTGGAGGACAGTGCTGGTCGAGGGGAAGGGGATCGCAGGGCTCGCAGAGGGGGGCACTGGGTCTGGTAGGGAGAACCATCGATGCTTGAAGCTTGTTTGAGCAGAATGTCGTTCTCTCTCATGTTGTGTTCCTCCTTGTCTTCTCGTCACAAGCTTCTCCTGGTCTTCTCCTCGACTTCGTTTTCCTTGTCGCTGCTCCTTCTTATGCCTCTTCCTCCTCCTCCTGCACCTCCTCCTCCTTTGTCCCCGGCTAGTAGGTCCTCCACCATCTGCACGTCGACGCGAATGTTGTTGATTTCTTCGCTCCTTTTTGCACAAATTCCTGACAAACTCTTCCCCAACATCAGATCTTGACTGATTTAATGCGACCCAGCTCCTATACATCCTTCAGTTCCAGTTCTGCCCACGCATCCACCACCACCACCTCCTCCTCCTCC